AATTAACACGCTGCCTTACTGAAGGCAAAGGCTGCAGCTATATTTATAGCTCAATTAACAAGTTTCATAACTAAACCTCCAGAAGTTCTAGGCAAACCTGACAAATGCTGTGCATCTTAACACCACCGTGACCCTGCCAGAACGCCACCATCTCCTAACAGGGCGCAGCTCCTGCTATCACCTTGCAAGAACAATGATGATTAGCACTGGCCCATCTGATAAAGGGAAGCTGGCTGGGCACCCCGGCTCTTGTCAGGGGTACGTCTCCTAACAGCTCCCAACCAACACACATACGGTTGATTCAGGCAGGCGGCAAATTCTTCTTCGCTCTGCAGAAGGATGGAAATGCCTGCTCCTCGGGAACCAATGGCTGCAGAGAATGGCTGCCACGTGATCACTAAGAAGCTTTGGTTCTTCCGGGAACAGTGTAACAGAAGCACAGGGTACGTCACTTGGAGGTATTATAACTTTAAAAGAAGCAGAAGACCTCTTCATAATATCTGCTAAGCAGGTTATCTTTGCTTGAGGGAGAAGGTTCTTCAGAGGATTACTCGTGAGCAGGAGGCACTCTTAGCATGACTAGGAAGGGTGCGGCAGTCTTTTTAATACAGCACTTGCTTGACGTGGAGCACACTGCCTTCAGCATCCAGCCTTCCCCTCTATTTGGGAATAACATTCATACACATCTGGCTCTCTCAGGGACTGGGAGCTCTTTGAGTGCAGGGAGGAGGGAGCATTCTGCTACATTATGTCCTCCACAGCCCTTAGTGCAGAAGTAAATAATAGGAAGGGTTCAGCATTTGTGAATGAATGAATGGGTGGATGACTTAAATTGGATGAATAAACAATTTAATAGATAAACAGTACTATTCTCTATAATACAATCAAAACTTATAATTCTGCAAACTCTTGCTTTAATTTTTAGGCTGGAGTTAAATGTATTTCACACATCATCCGTACATATTCTTATGAACTATAATCCATCTCCAGCTACCTCTGCCATATGTCTCTTCCCCATTAAAAGCTGAGTACTGAGGTCACAGAAATTTGGAAAAGCACCTACAATCTGCTGGCCAGAGACCTTATTCCATTTCTATTGTTTCACACTCCTTGGTTACTATCATGGAAAGGAAGTAAATGGTCAACTATCAATGCTATTTTAATATATTCAGGTGCATGACTTCTGGTAAGTTACTAGTTCCTAAGCTTGACTTTTCTTGCCTGTAAAATGAGTTAATCTAGAATTATCTTTAAGTATCTCTTCAACTTTAAAATATTATGATTTTATTTTTCTGCCATCTAGTCACTCCTACACATATTAATGGCATGCTTTTTCGTTCTCCTATTCCCTTAAAAGGATGATTGCAGGAGATATTTTTAACACACCAAACTTCTGAACCTAGTCTGACGGCACCTGCATATTTTTTTTTTTTTTACCCTTTGCACACTCATTGCTGAGCCTTTGATTCCCAAGCGCAGGGTATTTTTTCCCAAAGAATAAGAATGGATCATTTTCTTGGGACAACTTTTGGCTGCTGATAAATCATAAAGCTACGAGCACAGGATAAAGAGGATATGACAAAATGAGGCACTGTGATCAAGATAGACTGGAGAATTCTGCCAGGGTTCAGGGATCTATTGCCTCTCCCTGCTTTTTCAAGGACCAGAATCTGGAATAGACATGTGTCTGCACCAAGGACCATAAAGAGATAGTCAAGTGGCCAAATATGGCCCCCAAATATGTTCAGTGGGTCAGGTCACATGTAACTTCTCTTACTGTTATTTTAATGTGAGTTTAAATAAATGCCTTTGGATAGGTCAGACTGTCCAGTAGCCCTAACCACTCCCAATGTCCTTTATCTATCTTGTCTTTTCATTCATTCCTGGTCCTGGTCCTCTGCCAAACTCACTGTATCTGTCTTCTCCCATGAGGATAGAATATTATGTCCCATGAGGAAAAGATATTCTTCTATTTGTTCATTGTTACATTCAGTGCCTCAAAGAGTACCTGGCCCAGTAGGTATTCTGAAAATATTTGTTGAATAAATGAATCAATAAAACTACCCTTCCAATTGCTCCCTCTCAGAGCTCCTATCACACTCTGTTCACACCATCACAATTACCTTAATTCAACACACATTTCTTAAGTACTAGACATTGTACCAAGCACTAGAACCGTTGATGAATAAGACAGAATGAAGCAGAGTTCCTTGCCTCAAAAGCTCACATTTAAGAGAAAGGATCAGGCACATAGACAAATTGACAACATAGCAAAATAGTTTTCATGTGAGAGATATGTTAAAAGTTCTGTGTAAAGATCAACAGGAAATCAGGAAACATTTGCAATATGCCTCATTACCTGTACAAGGAAGAGAGGGCATTCCATACAGAGAAGAGACTAGGCAACGTCCCTGGAGCCCTGAACGTGCACCTGCTCAGGCCACAGACTACTTCCATGTAGATAGAAGAGAGCACGGAGGAGGAGTGGCTAGAAATGACCCTTGGAAGTTAGCACTTTTACAGGATTGTGAAGACCTTTAGGGCCAAGCTGAGGAGTTTAGATGCTATTCTGCAGGAAAGAGGCACTACTAAAACATTTCAAGCATTTCCAGGAAGAGAATGGTGTTTTAGAAAGTTACCCTGACAGGGTGTAGGTTGCCTTGAGAATAAGCTGGGAGGTTTTTACAGTGGTGCCAAGTAGTGGTGATGGAAGCCTAAGGTAAGGCAAGAAAAGCTGCATTTCTTTCAGGAGAAGGTTATGCAATAAAAATCTTGGAAACAGAATTAACAAGTGAGAGAAAGAGAGGCGAGAGCCAAGTGTGGGCTTGAGCTTTCTGGCTTAGGTAAACTGGATAGATAGATGACGGTGCTGCTGAGGGGAGGAAAAAAGAGGTTAGTAGCAGGGGTATAGGCACTGAATTGTTAATATGGTCAACGATGACGTTTTTCAGGGCAGTTTCAGAAAAATGAGGGGAATGAAAATAAATGCAGGTGATCAAAAGGTGAATATGATATGAAAACTTAAAGGCTCCTAGAAGAAACCTTTTTATTTAAACGGCTTTTATTTATTAGAAAAAAAACATGGTGAGGGGGGAAGGGGGGTGAAAAGGCAACGCACAGGAAAATTTTAGGGCAGTGACACTGTTCTGTATGGCACTTCAATGGCAGATATTTGTCATTCTACATTTGTAAAAACTCAGAGATGTACACCACCAAGAGGGGCTCTAATGTAAGTGATGAACTTTGGGGAACAATGATGTGCCAATATTGTTTTGTTGATTATAGCAAATGTACCACTGTGGTGGGGGCTGTCATTAGTAGGGGAGGTTATGTGTGTGTGGAGACAGGGGATAGATGGGAAATCTCAATACGTTCTGCTCAGTCTTGTTGTGAACTTAAAACTCTTCTAAGAAATAAAGTTCATTAATTTAAAAAACTTGTTTCTAAGTCTGTAAAGGGAAATAAGATTTTATCTTGAGAGGAAAGCAATGTCAGGAAAGAGTGGTTTTCTTTCTTTCTTGCTACCTCACTTTTCGAATGAGAGAGATTTATATAAATATTTTTAGACGTTGATGTGTTCTGTGAGGAAAATGTTTGAGAGAGAAATATAGCTGATGTAAACAAAAGTCTTGAGGACAGTGCCTGATGAGTAGTAATTGTTCAATAAATGTGAGATCCTTATCACTGCTATAATATCTATTACTTTCTTTTTATTATATAGTCATTTAGGTCATTGCCCAAGCTCACTAATGAGACCATTAGCTCATATAGAGAAAGGCTGCAACTGCTTAGAGTTTGTGTTCCTTACAAGCACTTAGTACAATTTCTTCAACAGAATCTTTATTCAGTGATTGATTCATTAACATAGGTATTGAACGAATGGTAGAATTTGAATCTTCTCAAGTGGTCATTTTGGCTTCTGCCTCTATTCCAAGCATACTTTAAGCATTTTCATCCTTCCCTTTGACATACCATATGGTATGTATTTAAAAAAGGGCCTCATCCTTCTCAGATTATAATGCTAAACTTGTCTGTGTCTGTTATGAGACTTTTAGCCACATGTAATATAATTACAGGTCTAGAAGAAGGAAGTTGGGGACTCTAGCTGGGACAGAATCAGAGACTCCATAATGACATCAAGAATTAGGTTCTGCATGGAGGCATGGAACAGACTGACATACCTCGATGTGGGGAATGGGGGAAGGAGAAGAGAACTTATATATTTATATCATAGTCCATGGACACGGGCAATAGGGTGAAGACCTGAAGGGTGGGTAGGGACCGAGAGAAAGGGGATAAGGGCAGGAATGGGAGACATCTGTAATACTATCAATAATATATATATTAAAAAAAGAATTAGATTCCTTCTACTTTTCTGCCATGCTGCTCTCAGAGTTAGACTTCATCAAAAGGTTGACCGCCCTCAATGTCACAACATGACTACAGTAGTAGTTTAAGGTATCACATATAAATAGGATGACATCTAGATAATGAGACCATTTCTTCCTCAGTACCTTTGTTGTAAGAATGAACATTTCCCAAAGACCCCCAACAGAATTGTCTTACATTTCATTGGCCAGAATTGTGTCACAAGCCTGAACTTCCAGCCCTCCTTATGGAATGATAGGGAATGGTGCCACTGTAATTGCTTTGGGCTAATCAGAAGCCACCCCCGTGGGAACAGAAGCAACCTTTTCAGAAGTACACGATCCCACAGAGGAGAGGGGAACATGAACTAAACAGGTTTCTTTTGGAAGAATAATAGCTTGGGGTGGGTCAGAGAGATGAGTGTTGGCTAGGCAGTCAACATTTGTCTAGATCTGAATCTAAACTAATATAGCATAAGAAAACAACGATCTAAAGTGGACATAAAATCTATGTTTAGAAGTTCCTCTATGAGTAAATAGATGATACAATAGTAACATGATGAACAAGTAAATAACTACAAGTTCCAACCAGGTGCTATGAGAAGGGCATTGGCAAAGTGCTTGGAGACTCACCACACACATTGCTCTGCTGTCTTTGTGCTGGTGATGCATGGAGAGAGATTCTGCATCCATTCCACCAACATTCCAGCGTCTGCTCTGTGTCAGACTGGACACTGAAACCTGGAAATAAATATTAATAAATCAGGTCCTCTTCACTAAAAGAGTACATAATCTAGAACAGACAATTAACAAAGACATAAACAACTGTAACATGATGAGTATACAAAGCACAGTCTAGCACAGAATTAGTGGTGGTCAATTAGTGGAGGGGGCAGGAAGGATTTCCTAAAGGAATGGGCTGCTTGGACTGGGTTTTGAAAAATAGTTAGTTGCTGGCCAGATTAAAGGGGGCTGGGAAGGGCATATTAAAGCCAAAGGTGTACAAATGTGAATTAGTATTCTGCCTCCAATGAACTCCAAGTGGGTCTAATTGGCTAGAGAACAGAGTTGAAGAAGGATATGGATGGAGGTGAGCCTGGATATTTTGATGGGAACCAGCTGTTGGAAGGCCCTCCCCTCTTCCCGTGTACATATATTTGGCTTTTATATAATAAGTAACAAACACTGAAGGATTAACAAAGTGAACAGGCATTTTAAATATAACTGGAAGCTGAATCATAGGGATATTGGGGTGATAGCAAGTCCAGTGGTAGCTGCAATAGTTGGGGCAAGACCAGGATAATGCTTGAGCCAAGACAATAGCAGAGAGTCTGGAGAAGAGGCAGGAATAAAATACTTGATGACACTCAGTGGAAGTTTGGATGTGGAAAAATAAGTAGAAAAGTCCAGAATGATTGAATAGGTAACAGTGTGATTCATCAAGATAAAGAAAGTAAGAGAAGTTAAAAGTTAAGATGCACAACTCATCCAGGTTTGCCTGGGACTTCCCCAATTTCAGCACTAACAATTCTGCATCCCAGGAAGCCTTTCATTCCCAGGCAAACCAGGATAATTAGTTATCATATGAAGAAAAGTACTTTTTTTCTTTCTTGTTTTTATTTTATTATTATTTTTAATCTTTATTGTTGAAAGTATTACATATTTCCCCTTCCCCACCCCATTGACCCCTTCTAGCCCGCCTCCACCCCCCACCCCAGGCCTTCACCACCCTATTGGCTGTGTCCATGGGTTATGCATATATGCATATAAGGTATTTGGTTGATCTCTTCCTACCTACCCACCTTCCCCTGCCTTCCCTTTGAGAGAAAAGTACATTTGGAGGAAAGTATGATATGTTAAATTAGGAATATAATGAATTTTAAACCTATTGAGCAGAACATTCTGTTTGCATCGACCTAACCCCCAAACAGCTGGCCAGTTCAAACCACTTCCACATTTCCACTCCTTCCTGTGGAGACCACCATCCAGCATTCGCACAGTAAGGGTGGGAGGCCCTGGCACAAAGGGTTAGCTAGTTGGTCTTTCTTCACCAGGGTTGCTGGGCTACAGATACAATTTAAAGGATGATTGGTGGATACTTTTCAAGGCATTTGTGCAAGTCATTTAAAAAAAAATCCCTAAAAGGAATACATCCTATTTGTAATCCATGGTCATTTCTTTCAAGGGGGCTACCCATCTGCTTTTGCTGCCTATAAAATTATTAATCAGAAAACAGAATGCTTTGATGCTTTATTAATCTTTGTATCACAGAGACATACCTATACTGTACATATACAAGCCCTTCTCAATAGGTTGCAAAAATGAATTATTTTAAGCCCATAAATGTACGTATTACACTTATTGCACATTAAATCAAAACAGCTATGATCTCTAAATTCCTTTTTTTTAATAAATAAGAGTCTGAAAATCATGTATAAGAAAGCTTTAGGTTTGTACAAAAACTCTGAGAGATTCTCAACATCCAGTTAAGCTAAGTAAAAGCCTAAAAACATCATGGTAAGAAGGAAGGGCTATTGAATACATCCAATGGTGCTTGAGACCAATATTGCTCCACCAATAACTTGCTCTATAAACTGACCCAGTGCTCCGACAGTCCCCAAATGCCTTATTTAAAACAAGGGGGCAGACATGAGGATGGTGTTCAACTCTTAACTTAGCAATTCCCACTACTGATTTAAACCAGACCTTTAGTGTTATTTTAACATAGGTTTTGGATTTAATTATCTTAAATGTCTAAAAGAATGCATGCAATTCCCAAACTGTTTATCTCTTTTATGGTAAAAATCTCTTCCCCTATCCCTAGAAATCTGTTTTAATTATTTAATCAGTTTGGCTGAAACTCACAAAGCATTAAATTGTTAGTTGTTACTTAACATTCCTTATAAATTGCATTTATTAATTTCTGGATAGAGACTTGTCCATTGCTACAGTAATTTAAATTAGTACCACATGGTTACAGACCGCTGCTGAATGATGATTAAATCTTTGGGGCAAATTCAGTCTTTTACGTCAAGATATTTAAATGGCACTAGAGATAAGCTAACCAAATTTGGGCCCAAGAAGTTACAATTTATCAAAAATGTAATAAACCATGGCCAGAATATTCATTGTAAGCAGCACATAATGTGGTCCATGAAATGACATTTTAGCATCTCTCTCACTGTGGTCACAGGGAAATGCTGACGTGGCAGACACAGCAATGGTCCATTGATATTTAACAGTTCCCATCTACAAGGTACTTTGCAATATTGTGGCTTTTTATACACTCAAGTCCCCCTGATACTCTATCAGTCATTTTGGTATTCACCACACTGACAAATTCCTTTCTTGGTGCTTTAATTTCACGGGTGCCAACAATCAACATAGCACACAACTCTCTGGAATTTCAGCAACAGAAGGAGGAACTGTCGGACCTTGGTGGCATTTCAGAATGACACATCGCTGGGGGAGAGAGCCGCAGAGGGACTGTTGACTCTAAACTAATTAGGAACAGATGATGAGGGGGAGGCACTGGAAAAGTTAAGGGAGCTCTCCCAGGTCACAGAGGTGGAGAGAGGTTTTAGAACTCAGTTTCTTTACCTGTGATCTAAACCTGTTCCTGTGACACCTATTACCACTCCCGAGGCCATTCAACTGATCCAGGACCTATTCTCACATCACTGAACGGATCTGATCATTTCTTCCCAGGGAACCAACTGGGGAAATCAACTGATTTAAAAATGAATCTTCCCATGGCTTCTGAATCCTTCAATAAGAATAATAATTTAAAAAGAGGGTGATAGGCAGGTCATAGGAGAGACCATAAGTGTCTTTTACTGGAAAGACTGACCGAAACATTCAGGTAAAATAATAAAATCAACTCATAAAGTAATAGATTCTTCTTCCTGCAGCTAAAGATAAATATTAAATAATCCGAGGTGCCGCTGGCTGAAAATTAATTTCTGTAAGGCAAATAGTGTAGTATGTATATGTGTTTCAATTTCTGTTTGGCAAGGTGCCTATTTTGAGCATCCTGCACAGACCTTTGAAGTACTTGGGCTTCTCTCATAACGCAGATGCTTAAACAAGAATTGCTTCCTCGGGGCTCCCAAGCACTGTAAAAAAAAGTCTGTTTTGGATCATCAGGCTCCCAACTAATTCCAGGTATTCAGTCTAAAAACACAACATTTTTTTAATGCATTAATGATACAGTGCAGCCATTCTGAATTGAATTGTGCCAGGAGATGGGAGTGACATTAACTTATTAGAGGAGTCACAAAGTGCTGAACCACTACAATTTGTGTTCCCCAAATTATAGTCAGGTGCAGTTGCCGGCAAGGGGAAGGTTGAAACAGGATACACAGTGGGGGTGGGGGGGGGAAGTGTTTCAGAGAGAACCCTCTAATGATTAATTTATAATAGAAAGAAGTACAAAGGGCAAATAGTACATTGTATTCTAAATCATGAATCTATTATAGTCTACTCTTAGACCATCTGACAGCTAAGACATTTCTCCCCCAACCCTATTTGTTTTAACTGTGCTTATTGAACACTTTGACAAAACACATAACATGTCCCCAGAAGCCAAACACACTTAGGGCCACTTCCACAGAAACGTTCAGAAATTTTACAATAAAAACAACCACCAAAACAATAACAAAAATCCACAATCTAAACTTTTTCATAAGTTTCCTAAAAGTAAAGACCTTTTCTTAAAATCATGAACACTTGTGCCTAGAAGAATCTTCTGCTAGCAGCATGTGGTATTCTGGAACAAACAAACGCCATGAAGCAAGGTGAGTTCCTCATGGTCATGGACAGAAGAGGGAAGTCTCCGGGGAGTCAATGAATATAGTAACCCTTCCCTCCAGGTCTACTCCAGGTCTTTCTAGAGAAGGGTTTAGCAGATCACTGGGTCTCTAAATGGAGCCAGAGAGTGGGATCCCTCACTTTGATATTCTCCCAACACTCCATGCTTCCGTCCAGAAGGGACGTGCAGCCCAGCATACTGACCAGGTTCTAACTTGCGTCACTGCATTCTGTCTCCTCTGAATACCTCCTGGAACTTCATCTGCTCTTCATTCCATGGTGTAAACCAATATGAGCTGTTGGAGAATTGCCCTTGAGGTGGCTGTACTTCAGTACTGGGCAACGTGACTCATGAATATTTTTAACAGTCAAGGCCATATGCTCCTCTCCTTTGCAGAGCATGGAGCCAAATGGAGCTTCTTAAATAACACACAGTGTGGCAGCCACAGCCAGGCACACCGGGAAGGGGCTCAGAGTTGGATGTGTCCTCACAGTCAGAGAAGAGAAAGGTCCCTGACTTTGAAAGAGACTACCAGCTGAGATGAAGCTAAGAAATTATTGGGAGGATAAAGGGCTTGTTTTGGTTGTCTGTTTTCATCTTTGTTTCTATGCTGGACTTGTTTTATGAATCAATTAAGGAAAATGTGTTATCCTAGCTCAGCCTTCAAGTTAGCCCAAGCCTTCTTTCTCCACACCACTTTCTCGTACCACTCTCAGGATCGGAGGGTACCAAGGAGATGTTGCCCACAAACCCACCAATGCTCAGAATTGCTGTCATAGAATAGAAATGTTCCTTTTTAAATGATATGACAATGTTTCAACATGCAAAGACATCCATGGGCTGGGGTAAAGTGGGAGCAACTTTTGGAGGAGATGGAGCATTGTGGCATGGGAGAAAATGATAAGAATAATAGAAGTGTAGTCGTTTGAAA